TATTGGTATTCCGAAAAGAAAGCTAATTGAGTTTGAACTTGTGGTTTCCAGGTGCAATTGGACTGGATTGTGCAGACATTGGGATCTCAATGACAAATAAGTCTACTTCCACAGCACCAACAGTGTCTCATAGTGATGTTAATCAAGGTAAAATGAGGCTCATAGATCTCTTTTCTTTTTCTGTTGCCAAAACAAAAACATCATGTAATATTGATCTTAAATGGATTTAAATGTGTTTCCACTACTTTCTTTTTTTCAACCCCTTTACTTCTCTCTTTGAGAGATCTGAGAATTTTGTAACCATCTGAGAAAGCAGCATCTTTCCACTTTTCCATCTTCTGAATTTTGAGAACCAAGAAAAACCTCAGTTGCCTGAATTTTAAGGATATTTAATCATGATTTGACTGTATAATACAAAGACACAAACCCCTTTTATAATTTTTGTTGATCATCTAGGTGTGCATTTCCATTCTTAATAGAAATAAACTCTCCATAAGATTTTTACTTCTTGGAATGCATGTAATGAATGAAAATAACTGATTTCTATTGTTTTCAGCTGGCTCGGAGCTGCTAAAAAATTGTAATTGGGTGATACTGTTGGTATTGTTGCTGGCTACGATTGCTTGATTTGTACAGATGAAGCTGATGCTCAGAGTTTCAAGTTCCACGATCCAAGTAGCAAATAGAAATTCTAGCATCAAGCAGCAGCATTGCTTGTTGTCCTATGGTTAGTATAGTTAGATTTTCATCTCATATCAATAAGTCTGACATACAGTTTAGGAGGAATTAATTCTTGTAGCTAGTGCTTGCATATGATATTGGAGTTTTTTTTATGGAGTTCAGTTATGGTTGATGGCAGTCATTTGCAGGTTGTACAGAAAACTATTTACATGATTGTATTATTTCTTGTTATCCATTTATGAGATTCTGGCTCGGTGTTTGTCCGTGTAATTGATTCCTTACTTCCTTTGTCCCTTTTAATTGATACTTTTCCATTTATGAAAGTGTATCAACGATTGTAAGATCATTGCCTATTCTAGTTAGGATCCAAGCATTTTGGAACGAGGTAATTTTTATTTCGTGGGGGGGGGGGGGTGTCTAAGAGGAAAATCGACAGCCTGATTTACCATTTGTAACCAAATATCATTTCGGCTTGCCTTGTGGCATCAGGACCGTTTGTGAGGTATGGCATGCAGGCTGTAACCCCTCTCCGGTGCCCTAGAAATCACCTGAGCTCAAAGGAAATTAATTGTAGAGGTGGCAAAATTTGTTCCAATCCAAATAATCATTTAGCCCAAGATCAAATTCGATCTGATTCGAATTAACTGAAAACAGTCAAAAATGCAAATTCAAAAGTTTGAACAAAGACCATTCGATCCAAAATTTGTAAAATCTCGAATTTTAAATTAAAAAGACTTGAATTGTGATTAATCTGAGATTAACTGAACACAAAATTAAGCTGAACTTGAAAAAATTCAAATTCTAAATAATTCAAACCTCAACTTGAGACGACGATCGGAATTCGAAAAAAGATTTCCGTCCAATTGCCATCTTTAATTATTTTAAGATACTGGCAATTCATAATGCAATCGAGAACAAGAGTAATACGAACTAAACCGAATTTCATTTTAGACCCAATAAACTACTAAGCTACTCAATGTAGCCCAATTGTAAAAGAAAAGAAAAATAAAATTATAAATTATACTGTTGTTAATTTGGGCTGAAGCATTTTGCAATTAGGCCTATTAGGCTTTATATAATTTGTTTACTCTGAGGTAGCAATTCTTTTGGACCAATTAAAGCCCATGAGCTGCAGATGTTTCAGAAATTCACGATTTATGACCGCAAAAATTTCGAGCGTTTGCTTCTATTCAGACCATAAGTCTTTGCTTGTTGGCCAGTGCTCACCGTTTTTTAATCTCAACAAATGAAAATTTTTTTTTCTTATACAAAAACAAAATTTTATGCCAATAAGATGATGGGTGTGTTCATATCTAAAATCACTATTCAAAACTTCAAAATTGAAAATATATGTTTTTCATATACAATCAAACTTATAATCAAATGTTATATTCATATAACTAATAATTATATCATAATCAAATTATAATTATTAAATAATTAATTAATAAATTATAATACAATTTAACAATCAAATCCATACACATTAAATTTTAATCTTAAAATTTCAGAGTTTTATAATTTTCTTCTTGTTATCAAGCCAAGACTTTAGTGACTATAAAATCAAAACTTCAAAGTTGATACCTACTCCTTTGATCCAAAGTGGGCCATTATTATTTTTTCATTATTTGGTGGAGGAAAATATATCAATAGTTTCATCCTGAATTTACGTTAAATTTCAAGATTATCTATTTTAAAAAATTGGTAATAATGAAAATTAAATTTAAAATTTATAAATAAAATATTCAATTTTATCATTAATATATATTTTACCACTTTCTCAATTCCCACTACTAATCCTTAAATATCAATCTCGATATATACAAAAATAAATCAATTGGATCCAAGATCCTTCTACTTTTTACTATATAAAGCACCTTTGCTAGACTCAATATTACGTGGAATCTAAACTTTGAGTTAGATTTTATTTTTATTCGAAATTTTTAAAAAATTTTAATTAAATTTTTAATTAATTAAAATTATCTAACTTTAATTTTTTTCGTTTTTGAAATTATCTAAATTAATAATAAATAATAATTGACATCGTGTGAATGGCTTCGGTGAGAGTTAAATAAAATTTTACTTAAAATTTAAAAACTAAGGATGTTATTATCTTAAATTTTTTATATTTTAGATATATTTTATAAAATATTAAAATTAAAATTTTTATATTTTTATTGTAATATAATTTATTAATTAATTTTTTAAAATATTAAGTAAAAATTACCGTATCATTTTAAAAACAAATTTATTAATCTATTCAAAAATCAATTTTTTCTTAAAAGAATTATTTGCATATATTTTTATTAAAAATTTTATATTTATATAAAAAAATTATTATTTTTAATAATTTGATTTATTCCCTTCATCTGTCGATGGTGTTAAAGACCGTTCTGATTGTTTATTTTTATTTTTTAAAAATAAAATTTTAATAAAAATAGATATAAATTAATTTTTTAATAAAAAATTATAAATAGGTTAATAAATTGATTTATTTTAAATAATATGAAAGCTTTTATTTAATATATAAAATGATCCAAATTTTTATTTAAAATTTTAAATTGGTATAAAATTTTATATTTTTTAAAATAATATGAAATTCTTTTAAAAGCATTTTAAATTTTTAAAATAATTTTAATTTTTTATAGTCTATTTTTATTAAAATAAAAAATATTTAACTAATAAATTATATAAAAATAAAAATATATTATTTTAAATTTAATATTGTATACACTAAATATAAAATATAAAATTTTTAAAATAATAATATCTTTCGTCCTTAAATTTTGAATAAAATTTTATTTTGATATTTTTTTAGAATGTAATATATCAATTCACGTCGTCCACATAACATTAACTAATATTTATTATCAATTTAAATATATAAACGAAAAAACCAAACTTAAACAACCTTAAATAACTAAAAATCCAATTAAAATTCTTAATGTTAAATATCAAAATAAAATTTAGCTACAAATGCTATTAACTCACTACTTGCTTTTACCAATTACGATTACTACATTTTTTTAAAATAATTACTATTATTCTTCCATACCACTGTGAATTAGTATGACTCTAATAAAATAGAAATTCTTTTGGGGTGCTTGATGGAAATATCCCAATCTGTCACAAACCCTAATTACTAGATGTAGCTCTCTGCACCTTGTCATTCACTTAACCAATCAATGTCTCATCGAACCCATCTTGAAAAGGTTGTATTAAAAAGTAAATTATTCCAATTCATTCGGCGGCGTACAAAATCCCACTTTTTTCTCTAACCATTTATCTCCACTGACTCCATTCATTTCAGCCTCTCCTATTCTACTTGCCCCCCCCCCCCTCTGCAAATTTTTATTCTGATTTGAACCATTTCTTTCACTTCTTTTTCCTTTCGTTTTATTTTCTTTTGATATTCGTGTCTGAATTGTTAGTGTACCGTTTCCCCTATCCTGCCTTTGCTTCTTTGGTTTTCGCGTTCCAAGTTTTTCTTCATTGTGGTGGTTCCTCCTCTTTGCCTAGTGGCCCACCATGCAACTAAAGGATACCCTTGGTTTTTCCTCTTAAGTCCTTTTTTTTTTAATTTTTTCACTTCTATGTTTTCGTACTTTTGCTTCACAATCTCTTTGAGAAGGCGATAGTGAATGCCGGTTGTATCTATCAACATGTACATGTGATTTATTGAATACTGGTCTTTGGAAATTGGAGCTACAACTACTGCTCACTATGTTTGCTTCCTCATTTGTACTGCCATATAGATAGTTGACGGTGACACATGTGTCATTATTGTGATAATGCCCTTTCACCTAACTCGTTTATAAAATGTTTACTTTCGTTTGAACCAAATTTTACGTTTGCAAAATGATAGGGTAAAATAAACCCACGTCTTGGAAGACAATAAGACCTAAGAGCCTGAGATTCAGACTTACATCGTGGCTAGCTATTTTTTATGAGGATGGTAAATCATCGAAGCAAATATCTTTTTCTTTTTCACTTTTGCAATATTGAAAACTGTAGGATTCACTTTAATATTCAAATAGTGCAACTTATTTCCAATAGTTGAGACATGTTACTCTAAAATAAGAGGGAAGAGAGGTTCAAATGAAGAGGCAAACCTTTCTCTAATGTGACAATGATTTATATGATTAGTGCAAAGTGCAAAATGAAATTATGTCATGCAATCTACCAAGTTGTATATAAATTAGAAGGCATAAATATGAAAATTTATTTTGGTTGGTTATGTGTAATCTTCATTGAAAGATTATATTTTAATGAAAAGAAACAAAAAATTGCATGGTGGGGATGGCGTAGCTAGCATCCACTTCATTAAGGAATCGTCTAAAGTTGGATACTACCGCTGATGGTTTATTCCTTTATCTGCAGACAAGTTTTAAATCCATTTGGCCCCATCAACTTGAATTAGGCATTGTTAATTTCTCAATGTTTTTTATTCAATGGCCAAAACAATCTATCCAAGGTTAAAGACCTGTTTGATAGCCCGAAAATACAAAAACGACACTTCAGCAAAATAAAAATAAAAAAAAACAGTCGCTACCATGATGTTATCAAATGAGGCTCAAAGTATTGTACCTCAAAACATAGACGTGTAAATTACATTTACGAACTGGATATCATTTTGGGTCTTTAAATTTTAAAAAATTACATATTAATCTTTATATTTTGATCATCCTGTCAGTGTCAATGAAATCATTAGTTAAGTGTTATAAGAAAAATTATAAATTATGATAACAGATTAATAATATTATAAATTTAAAGTTAAAAATAGAATAATAATTATGAAGGAAATACAAATTTGATAAAATTCATTTTTTTTAATTTATCTTTTAGGGATATTAATTCATATGTACCTTTATTTTTTTTTGTGTAATAATTTTTAAATCAATTAATTTTTTTTTACAAAATTATGTTAAGTTGTAATTAAACTTACCAGCCATATTGACAAGTAAGAATCGAGTTTTAGACATCATTTTTAAGGTTTAGGTTCGATCCCATCAAATTATTATTTTATTAATAAATTTTGTTATTTCATTTGTATTTTTAAATATAATTAAAATATAAAAATATTAATATAAAAACATATTTTTTAATTTTCGTAGTAAATTGAATCTATTTAGATTTATAACGGACAAGTCAAGCTGAACCTTGAGTGAGATTTTGAAAGTTTTATCTAAATTTAACTCGGTTCATTAAAATCTTTAGTTGCAATCTAACTAATATTTTATTATTTTTTATTAATAAATGATAGTATAAAA